TGTTGGTGTAAGTGGCCATTTATCACATAGCCCAGCTTCCCCGGGTGGCACTCTAAGACTGGAGTGTCTAAGAGGACTCTGTGTGACTTCATTACAAGACGATTCTAGTACAACGGGAGTTCATATTTGTTATGAAGTTGGTGGAAATAATTATAGAACCTACCATCATTTGGAGGCCTCTAGCCTGCTTTTTGGTAGTCTGCCCTAAAGTTATCACTCTATTGGGAGCCACTCCAGAGAGTGTGACTGAAAGAATGCAAAAAAGGAGGTGACATGGCCAATGTGACGGTCTAGGAAAATGATTTTTGCTGTATGATTTAGAATGGATTAATAATTCCTATTGCACCAAAGTGTGCCTATGAGCTTTACAGAAAAGCTAAAAAGACATGATCTGAGCAGCTTTCAATCTACATTTAGACATGGTTTACTAAGAGTAACAAAACTGGGATGGAATGAATGAAAGGTGTTCCAAGCATAGGGGTAGCACTGTAAAACACAGAGCAGATATAGAATAAGAAACCCAACAGGGCATTGAGCCTTTGAGTTAACTGGCAGAGTAGACAATCTGGGGGAAAGTAATTAGACAGAGATGTAGGCTAGTCAGCACAGAGAAACCAAATACTCCTTGAAATCCAAAAGATATGCTTATTAGTGCTGGACAGGAATAGAGAATTAATGTATTACCTGATTCAAGCACTGAAGCTAGTCAATTGACTTTCTAAATCTGAATAGTATCCATAAAATAGGATTAGCAGGCTATTCATTTTATCACTGTGTCTTGGTTCATGTGCACATTTAATAATGAAAAATAACAGTTTTATTTTACTGGAGAACATGCATTGAGTCCATGACCTCATTTCAAGCAAATCCATCTGAGAAAGAGTAAAACTCATATGTTATTGGCTCTCACTAAGCACATATATAATACCAGATTTTTCGTACTTCATGTTAAATCGTTTTGGCTACTTCTCCCAGTAAGTATTATTAGTGAAAAGATTATTTTAAAAAAGTTGGCAGACTGACTGTGAAAAAGTAAAATGAATCATAATTCTGTGATATGGGGAATTATTTCAGTGCTGACAGAATTAAATTTTATTTCATAAGCGAGGAATGATTTTAAAGGGCAAAACATACAAGAACATTTATTGAAATTTATCAAGTTACAAATTAGATATGACAACAATTTTCAGTAATTTTTTACATTTTATGGGTGTTCTAGATAAAAGGAAATGAAATGGTTTAAACTAGTTACATGAAGTTGATAAGATCTTTGCTTCATATCCCAATATCTGTCAGATCCACACAAGAATATCAATGCACTGTGCCGAGGTCACTTAATTCAGTGGGGCTGTTTGCAAACATAAATACCTGCATAGATTGCAAGCTCTCTTTCTGCAATGAGATTGTAATTCTGCACAAAAATGTATGTACCTTCTTAACTTGAGGTACTCAGAGTAGTCCCATTGATTTTGATGGGCACTTTCGTAAATCTTTCCCAAGAGCTTACATTTGTAATAAATAAATAAAGTAATACAACCTAGGAAAAATGCTATCCTAGGGTAGTTTACACTGTAGCGTTTTTCCAGAATAACAGGTGTTATTCTGGAAAAACAATACTTATGTCCTGGGTAAGTGTGGCAGTGGCAGCCATGCAGTGAGTTGCAGCTCCCAGGGCAGGCTTCCTGACGCAAGCCTTGTCCCAGGTGTTTGTGAGTTTAAGAGCTGGCAGACAACAGGAGCTATAGAGTTGTGATGAGTTTGGATGGAATAGTTTCCAAACAAGCTTTTTTAGAAAAAGGCATGTGTGGACGCGGAAGAGAGAGTTCTGTCCCACCAGGCCCTTGTGTTATTTCCTGAAGGCCTCTTTTTTTGACAGAACTCTCTCTTCCGCGTCCACACATGCCTTTTTCTAAAAAAGCTTGTTTGGAAACTATGTTCTTCCTCATAGAAAAAGGTTTACCACAGTTGGAAAAATCCCTCCATTCTTTCAACTTTTTGTCAAAAGAATACAATTGCAGTGTGGACATAAGTATTGTTTTTCCAGAATAACACCTGTTATTCTGGAAAAAATTATGCACAGGGCTCCCAGGACCCTGCCAGGGGCGCAAATTGCATGCTCCCTCCTGGTCCGGAGCGGAGATCCTGTCCCTCCTCAAGGTGTGGGGGGAGTAGGGGAGACAGATCCATGGCCCAGCCTCAAGCCCCCTGAGAGCCCACTGGATTATGCACAGGGCTCCCAGGACCCTGCCAGGGGCATAAAACGGCATGTGCTGTCATGGTCTGGGGTGGATATCCTAGCCCTCCTGGACATCTGGGGCAAAGAGGAGTCCCTGCAGGATCTCAACTCCAGATGCAGGAAAGTGGACATATATGGCCAGATGGCCAAGGCCCTGGCCATGAGGGGCCACCATCCCAGGACTTTGAAGCAGGTCAGGAGCAAGGTCAAAGAGCTCTGGCAGGGCTACACCACCGCCAGGGAGCACAGATTTCACTCTGGAGCAGGACCCCACTCCTGCCCCTTTTACACTGAACTCCACTGCATCCTGGGGGGTGGTGCAGCTCCTTCCCCACCCCTAATCATCAACTCAGATCTGGAGACACCCGTCATCACCCACCTGGAGCTCCCAGGCAAGGAGGAAGAGGAGGAGGATGACGACGAGCTGGAGGAGGAGGAGACTGCCAGCACCATCAATGTTACCCTAGAACCAGAATCCTGGGGCCTAGATGTCTCCCAGGAATCCTCCTAGGCTGGGGAGGGATCAGCAGGTGAGTATGCTTCGGTTTTCACATACACAGGATAGGGGAGGCAGGTGCTGAGGGGGTGGGGTGCAATCATCACTCGGCCTTCTCAGCCTGGATATCACGCTGCAGTCCATGCACGTGGATGGACGTGTAGTCCCAGTCTGTGCCATGAGGCCCCAGGCAGCAGCCTTGGAGCAGCCCTGGGCTTCTGCTCACAGGCTCTGGGGAGGTCACATACACATCTGACCACCCCTAGCCACCACTGGAAGGAGGCTGGGAACAAGGGCACATGCCCACCTGCACACAGACTGAGGAGTGCTGCACATGGAGCTCCTAAGCGCAGGTGTGTGTATGTCCCCCATGGAAGGCTAGGCTGTTTCAGGCCCCTCTTCGGCCCATGGGATCCCAGGGTGGCCAGACACGTCCCTTGCCTGCTTGTCCGTGGGATGGGAGGAAAGGCAGGAAGCATGGTTCCCTGGGTACCTCTGTGCCCCTGTGAAGTGGGACCCACTGTCCAGGCCACACATGGCCTTGCTCCCAGGTCATCACCATCCTATGGCCCAAGAACTGTAGCTCTCACCTCAGAGAGGAGAGCAAGGGCTCAGGGACAGTGTCTCCAGGGATGACTGACCACCTCTCCCTCTTGAATAAGGGGCAATCACCACTAGTTGGGCATCTGCCCAACCCTGGGGGAGCTGCAAGCACTGGAGGATCCACGAAGACTTCACGAGGGAGCAAGTGGGCATCCTCTGGGACATGCACCAGGCCATGGCACAGAAGGTCCGGGATGATGCCCAGTGGCAGAGCCAAATGTGGACTGAGCTGGTGCAGCAGGGCCGCAACATGTGTGCTACCATCTGGGAGATGATGGCATACCCAGCTCCTGTCCCTGCTCCCCCTGCCATGCCTGTCCCTGCCCCCCTGCCATGCCTATGCCAGCTTTTCCTGCCCCTGCCATGCCTGACCCTGCTCCAGCCCTCCCCTCCTGCCTATCCTCCTGTTGTCCCTGCCCTCCTCACCTGTGAGGTTGGTGAGGTCCCTGGACCTGAGGTGGAACTTCCAGCTGCACCATGTAGCACTTTCATCCCCAGCTCTGAGCCCCCCCTCTTCTCTCCTCATATCCAGGTTCTGAGCCCCCTCCTCCTCACTTATTTGTATTAAAATACAAACTTATGTTTTGAAAACAAAACCATTGTTTCTATTGAGTTTACTGGGAAGGGGGAAGGAAGGGGTTGTTGTGGGAAAGGCATAGAGGGCAAGGCACAGGCCCCTAGAGGGGAGGCCCTGGGGGGAGTTACTGGGATCCTTCAGAGAAACTCTCCCTCAGGTCCCCCCGGATGCGCATCCCCACCTGATGGGCCTGGCAGATAGCATCTGTGTGTGGCTGTTCAAAGGCCTTTCCCTCCCAGCCGGCCTCTGCCCCCTATCAAGGTAGGAAGGCCTCTCCTTTGCTCTCCTCAATGTTGTGGAGAATACAACATGCAGAGACCACCTGGGGGATGTTGTGCTCCCCCACACTGACGCAAGTCTGGAGGCACCTGAACCTCACCTTCAAGCAGCCAAAGGCACATTTGGCCTGGATGCAGGCCCTGCCCAGCTGGGCATTGAATCGGTCCCTGTTGGGGTTCAGGTGGCCAGTGTACAGCTTCATCAGGCACGGCATGAGGGCGTAGGCCATGTCCCTCACAATACACAGTGGCATCTGCACGTCCCTAACCTAAAAGTCATGCTGGAAGAACCTCTTATTCTGACTCCTGTAACCCTCATTTTATGAGGAGAAGGGTGTCATGGCTCCTTCCCCACTCTGGCATGATAAATGCAGAAGTGGGGGCCAGCAAGTGTACCCCAAAGCCTTATTTACCAGGCTTTGGTATAAAAATTCCCCCCCAAGATCTTAAAAACCTAGATCTTGGGAATAAAACTTCCGCTGCCACCACCCAAATGTTGCTAAAGAAACCAGGGGAAAGATCATTTGGGAAATCTTCCCCCTAAAACAAAAATCAAGGCACACAATTAACCACTGCCAGGTTAATAAAAGAAAAGAAAGAACTTTTATTATTACAACAATATTCTGGTTGCAAGTATAATGACTAGAGAGGAAGGTAACAAAATATACTCATGGAGAAACTCCATGGGCCTAGAACTTAGTTACAAAGAAAAGCCAAAACATCTTTTAAGCAGTGCCAGATCTCAGATCCCATACCCAATCCATAACACAATAAAACCTAGCGAAACTACCTAAACTTTACCCTACTTACAGAAAATGAAGAATGGTGTCTTGGAAAGAGAGACATGCTTGTCCCTCTCTGTAGCTGCAGAGAACTCTCTCCGAGAGACAAAAGGGAGAAAAGAAAAAAACCCAAATTCCTTTGTCCCAGTTTGAAAAATCCCACCTACATTCCTATTGGTCACTCCACCTGGCTAGGTGTAGTTAACCCCTTAATCCCCAGGCTGCTGGCTAACCCTCATAATCATGACAAAGGGGAAGTCAGATGAAGAGTGTTCTATTTCTAAATAAGTCTGTGTAGACAGCACCAAAACTCAAAACAAGTTATTTTGAAATAAGCTATGCAATTGATGTAGCTCAATTTGTGAGTTTAAGCGCTGCTGTGTAGACGCATCTTATATGTGACCCTCAAACACCATTACTCCCCTTTCTTCATCTGATGAGTGAACTATAAAGAATCTATAAAGTATTTGTGATGCAGAAGTACATTTTCACAATGGCTAAAAAGGTAGTTCTGAGTATTTCTACCTCCACCAACATGATTTACACTTGCAGTCAGGTAGTTAGAAGGCCATGTGAGACGGGGCTGTAGGGATAGCTGCTGCTGCTGCAGTGGTGGTCCCCGAGCCCTGCAGGGGCTGTAGGGATAGCTGCTGCCGCTGCAGTGGTGGTCCCCGAGCCCTGCACTTCTAAAAGCCCCACGGCAGCTTTTTGGGGGGAAGCTGTAGCCGTGCAGCAGATGTGTGCTGCCTGCTCCGGATCCTCCCCGAGGTGTAAGGCCGAGATGCGGGATGACATCAGGGGAGGTGCCAGGAGCCGGCAGGGCTCGGCATCAGAGAGCGGTGTGGGATATTAAGGGATATAAAGGAGGCCCTCAAGAGGGAGCGCACAGGAGGAAGGAGGGGAGGTCGCCTTGGCAAGGAGCGGGGCCCAAGGGAAAAGGCGGCGAACCATCAGACAATGGACCTGCGGAAAAGAGGTGACGGAGGAGAGGAAGCGACCCAGGACTGAGTGTTGGAGCCAGAAGGTCGCTCAAGGGTTGGTGAGTTGAGGCCGTGGCCCCACCAACCAGTCAGGGAGTGTCGTCCCTGTCCTTAGGGTCCTGGGTTGGCACCTGAAGTGAGGGAGGGCCCAGGTCCCCGTCCCCTCCATCGGGCGGCCCCGTGGTGAGGGGCTAGTGGCTAGTAGACGTCCGGTAAGACTGGACCTCGGGAGCACTATAACTGGGAGAAAAAGGTGAGAGAAAGATGACAAGACCTTAGAGACTGGGACACAGGAGAGGGGAGAGCATGTAGGGGGCATGAGGGGAGATAGGCATTTACGCCTTGACCCCGATGATGACATGGCTATGGACCTGAGGGGAGGCACAGACCATGACACCATGTATTCATATTTGCTCCTACAATTTAGTTCCTGGCCCAGATTTTGAAAGTTCATGGTATACCTGTGCTTTCTCTGTCCTTTTGTGACATTTTTACATGGTCTCGGCCACAGTTCAAATACCAAAGTACCATGAATCACAAGGCTTAACTGATGGTTACCATTTTATCCTTATAACATGGTTACCTCTCTGTTACTCTCATTCTGAATTTTGTCAACACTTTCTTTCTTACATTCATTTCCTTTCACTCTTGTACTTTTTAAAAACCAAAAACCAAAACTATTTGAGTTATTTATCAATTTGTAAACTTCCATATACAACTAAATTTGATGTTATTTTCAAACCTTCAAACATGATGTTACATTATTATTGAGATGCTGTTACTAAAATAATAAGAAAGGTTACAATAGTCTTTGCTTCCTCATTTCATTAACTTACTTCACTTTGCCTCACTCATCCTATCAAACTAGGCATGAACTATATACCTGCTATGCAACTAAATAGATCCGTTTGTATTCTCCAGAGTATGATGGTTTCACTGCTAATAAAATTTAAATAAATCAGTTTGAGTTACAGGAAAGATTCCAATCTCAAGACCTGAAGTGTCTGATACAAAATACCTATGAAACAGTCAGAAGAAAATGTGGAGAAATCAGCAAGACAGAGATCTGAAGGCTCCAATGACCAAAGTCAAGAGGTATATTGGAGAAGGTACTTCAACAACATTTGGGCATTCTATTGAGTATCCCTAGTGGTATGAAAACCGCCCACCAGAGATTTGGGAGAAGGGGCTGAGGATATTCTTTCCATCTCTCTGTGTGGAAGCCTCCTTGTCCTTTTCTTCTTCCTTCTCCTGTGTACAAACCCACTTTCACCCATTTTGTCTTTCTTCCAGCTGACATGTAGATTGGGAGTTGCTGCCTCAGGCCTGGTCTACATTACAAGGAAAGGTCAAAGGAAGGTATGCAACTCCAGCTATGTAAGTTACATTGCTGGAGTCGATGTATCTTACATCTCATTTCCTTACCATCCACGCAACGGGAGGCCAAAGGGAGCAAATGCTCCTGTCACCTTCCCTTACTCCTCATGAGGAGCAGGAGTACCAGTGCAGATGGGGTTGCCCTTTGAGTTCGATACTATACTATACCTGTTAAATCGAAACCTGGAAGATCAACCATAGCAGCCTCGATTTTCCATGTAGCGTAGATGTGCCCTCAGAGTACAGTAGAGCCTTAAAGTTGCAAACACCTCAGGGAGGTTGTTCATAACTCTCAAAATGTTTGTAACTCTGAACAAACAGGTTATGGTTGTACTTTCAAAAATTTACAACTGAATATTGACTAATTACAGCTTTGAAACCTTACTATGTAGTAGAAAAGCTTTTAACCAGTTTAATTTCAATGAAAGATGAAGTCTTCTTATCTTGTCAGATCCTTTAAAAAACTTTCCCTTTATATTTTAGTAGTTTACATTTAACTGTAGGGGTTTGTTTTTGTTTTGTTGGGTTGTTTTTGGGGGAGGCTTGGGGTTTTTGTTTTGGGTGTTTTGGTTTTTTTCCATCTTTGCTGCTGCCTGATTGTTTACTTCTTGATCCAAATGAGGTGTGGGTTAACTGGTCAGTTCATAACTCTAGCGTTCGTAATTCTGAGAATCTACTATATTGTCTTTATTATATATCTTTACTATTTCTAGCACAGTGGCACCCTGATTGTGGATTGGGTCTCAAATCCTATTGTATTGAAAAGGCTTAATTGGCAAAGAGGAGGGTAACAGAGTCTTGAGGAATAGCCCTTAACTCTCTGTTAATGCTAATTATTTTCAAACAGTAAACTTGAATCTTTTAATTTCAAACACGTTATGATCAGAATTATTTAAGATTATTCCATCTGGTGTTCAATCAAGATGTTAAATTTTGATGCTTTTTCACCACATGTCGGTGAGATATTGTAGACAATGAAGTTTTGTTGCCTATGATAAAACTCAATAAACATTTTCACTCACAAATCACTGATTATGTTTGCGAGAAAGAAAAAAATAATGGCAACCATTCCTGGGAGAAACGGCTTTGTTTAAAATAGAAGGATATGTCTATTTACCTGAAATTTTGGGTCATTTTCTTGTTAAACCAGGATAAAACTGGTGAAACCTTGGCAGCTGTTTAGGAAATTTCTGACAATCTTTTAAAATAAACAATAAAAATGAAAATGATCACAAGATTATTTTTTCAGTAGTGCATTTTTGTTATGTGAAAGAGATGTGGAAAATCTCTTACAGCCTGCATTTCTTGAATTGGGCAAAAGAAGTATAGGTGGTAAATTACACAGTTCACTTGCAGGACAGCAGGTAGCTTTTGTCTGCTTCTATTTGAATTATTCTGAGATTGTCACATGGACAAAATAAGAGTCATACTTGCACTGTCATTTGACAGAAAGAACAATTTAGTCCTTGTTATTGCATGTGTAACTGAGGTTCAGGAAAATATATTTCAACCCAACCTTAGTTAAAGGATACTTATGTTATTTTGATACCATATTTAATATAATTTCTTAGACAAAATTATTGCTATTTTTGTATAATCTCATATTCAATAATGTGTTATTTCTCTTTAATTTTTTCTTTAATCTGTTTTAAAGTCCATTGATCCATATGTAAGTTTCAGTGTATGCTTATAAATAACTTTCACATTGTTAAAGTATAATATTGCTGCTGTAAAAGAGATGGAATCCATCCATCAAGGATTAACATTATAAAAGACAGATGTTATGATCTTTTAAAACTATCTAAAAGCAGAATTTGGTAAAGAGAAACACATACACATGGATATACTTTCTTTAAAGGAAAAATAAAAAGAGTATGTTATTATTCTTTTATTTTGTGAATTAGTCCACAAAATATATAAATTCTTGTAGGCAATGTACTTTAACTATTAAATTATGGGGATAATTTTCTGCTTCCTCATAAAAATATATTTTATATTGAAATAAAATAAGTATTTTGCCAAATATAACTAAGCCCACTTTGCAGAAAAGTAAATCATCATTTTTTTAACAGAAATAAATTTGGTCTCTGTAATGAGCATTGGGAAATATGCAAAATATGTGATATTATAGCCATATGATTCCCATTAAAGTCAGTGGAAGTTGTGTAGTTAATTAGTGCTCAATATTATGATTATAGAACATTGCACGACATCCTGACCCCCATTCCACCTACTTTACATTGCTGTGGTATCACAATGCAAGCCTTACCAGTCATTTGGGAATTCCCTTAAAAGGAAGAATCCCCAAATAGAATAAAACCAGCAAAAATGTATTTTTTTTGCCACAAGTCCCTTCTAACCTCAGCATGCTATAGTTAATCATCATTGTTATTTTTTATTAATGATATTTGTTATGCTAGCACCCAGTGACCAGAACAGGAACCTATTGTGCTAGGCACTGTGTAAACACAGTAGTTGAACGTTCCTAACCTGAAGAGTTTACAATCTAAACAACAAAAACTGATACAAGGAAACAGAAAGACATGTAAGATATTAGCACAGTGATCAATTTGAAGGCAACAAATGTCAAATTAGTTTTTATGACTTCTCTCTTGGGGAGAGAAGGCTTATTTGGGCAGAGATAAGCAAATTGGGAAGATAAAGGAAGGAGAGGATACATTAAAAGGAAAGTCAGAAAAGG